CCTCCTGAAACTTTCCCGGCGGCCAGCTAAGGCCACTGCGACTACAGGCGGTCTTCTCCCTCCTCCTCTAATTCCCTTTCCCAGCCAGTGGCTCCCCAACAACCCCAGAGGGGCCGCTCTCTGCCCCTCCCCCCTTCCTCCTGGCCGAGTGGGCAGAAACGGTAAACAAAGGGACGAAGAGACCCCCGAGCCGGGGACCCTGGCCCTGCTCAGTCCCCGGGGGTGTGGAGACTCGTCTCTCTCATCAACCTGACAGGACCTTACGGCAGGCAGGGGACTGAGGGTGGGGAAGGCGGCGACGAGGTTTCCAAACGGAATTCGGAATTCGTTAGAGGGAGGGAAGGCTCTCCCGAGGGGTCAGTGCCTCGGGGCCATTCTGGGAGGGGGAAAATGCTTTTCCAGATATTGTCTCCTCGGGGAGAGAGTTACAATTAAAACCTGTGATCAGCTTCTCTCGGTCTCCTCCCGCCCCTGCGCACCTCTGTTAAGAAGCAGAAGAGAGCGGGCCTTGGCTCAAATGCGCACGGAGGAGCTCAGGGCTGGGGGGCCGTCCATACCCAGCGGCTCCAGCCAAATTAATAAACATGTCGCCCGTTTCAAATTGGCTACAAATGACGCTAATGTTTTCCGACAGAATTAGGGTGGCTGGAACCGTATGTAATGAGACAGAAAATTATGGTAAAGATGACAACTGGACGGGCATTTCCAACCACACTTATGGACGATTAAAACACAGGCGAGAGCAAAGGAGGGGGAGAGAGAAAAATCGAGACAAGGGAGACAACTGCCAGGCTCGAAACACACTGTAACCTGGGCCACGGGTCGCCTGTGTTCCCTCTGCAGTTCGGGGGCCTGCAAGCTCTGCCAGCCGCTTTCCTAATTTCCTTGCAAGGTTCCAGGCGAGCTCTGAATTCGTTAGAGGGAGGGCCGGTGCAGGGAACCGATACTCAGGCTGGATGCTTGGCCAGCTGCCCCGTTCTCCCGCCGGCTGCTGCCCACCTTACCTCTCCTGGCTGCCTCACAGGCCAAGGCAAGGACATTGGAGCTGAGGCCAGGGAGGCAGGTCTTCCGAGGCTGAAGTAAGTAGCTAGGACGTGTGGCCAGCTACAGACATTCAGAACCAGCCTGGGGCAGGCCCAAAGGGGGCACCTCGCATGCTCTACCAGCCTGAGTGTCAGCTGCCCAGATGTCTCCATTTGAGAAGGTGGGGCCTGACGGACTTGGGGACAAAGTGGGGGAAATTCCAACCCCTCGGATTTGAGAGTGAAAGTAGCACATGTTAAGACACTTAGTGCAAAACTCTCTGAACTCCAGCTGCTCCTCAGCAGCTCTTTCCTTGGGCGGGGGGGGGGTGGCTGATCCCTGCCCCTACTTGAGAGCCCCCAAGTGACCACTCCAGGCCCTCTGAGTCCCCTCTTTCCTCCCAAGGCCAGGAGAAAAGATTGGTGCTCTGGTCACAACCTGGATGGCCAGGCGCTTTGCTCCCCCACACAGCCTCCCTTACCTGCGGTTCTGGTACCAGGTCTTGACCTGGGTGTCAGTGAGGTTGAGCGAAGCTGCCAGGTCCATGCGGTCCTGCACGCTCAGGTACTTCTGCCGCTCAAAGCTACGCTCCAGTTGGTTGAGTTGGTGGTCAGAAAAAGCCGTCCTGGCTTTGCGAGGCTTTTTGGCTCTCACAGGGGGACTCTCTCGGCTACTCGTAATCTCCCGGTCTCCTTCCTCCTTTGTTCCTATGATAGAAACCCAGACACAGTTTAGTAGAGTAACCTGGAATAGGGAAGGGTGGAGTGTCCTTCTGGCACGTACTTCCACATTCCCAAGCCAGTCGCTGGTCGTCGGGGACTGTACTCTTCTTACACACATACTTGGGCCTCAGCCAGTGTGGAAAAAGAGGACCAATGTCTGGATAAGGAGTGTGGAGCCTTGTGCGGAGCGTCCAAAAGCATTCTAAAAGGGTATCTGATCTCCCCGCCTTTGAAATGTAAAAGAAAAAAAAACTTTACAATAAAGTATCCTTTTGTTATTGTTTCCTTGCTGGAGGGGGCACGGGGAGGAAGGAAGATCCTGTCCCTCTCCTTTATTGTCTTTCACTAAGATTTTTTTTCTTTCTGATTTGATAGTTTTCAAAAGGTCTTTCTGCTGTGTGTGTGTGTGTGTGTGTGTGTGTGTGTGTGTGTTGAGGAGGGGGCACCCTTTTCATTTTACTTTTTCTGTTTACTCAAAGTCATGGCATTTGTTTTCCTTTTTCAGGTGCACTTGGGAAACGTGGGACTCAAGCTCTCTGCAGCTGCTTCCATCAAGCCTTTTAAAGCTTTAGAAAGAATGTGTCACCCAGACCCCGAGCTGAGCTCAAAACCACTGAGCCCATTCCGGTGACAGCCCAGAGATTTCCGGATTCCATTTGTCAACTTTGGTTTTTTACTGAAATGCTGGGAAATCGATATGTCAATCCCTCTCTGCTTGTACCCGTTTTTGCTGTGCTCCTTGATCTTCCCTGCAGGAAGAACAATAATCTCTCTAATTGACCCACTGGGGAGGTTGGTGCACACAAAAATCGCAGGACCAGACTGTACATCTGTTTGGGGCACTATTATGCTAATGCTGTAATAGTAAAATGAGGAGCCAACATCCCATCTTCCAGACAGTCAGCACACATCTTTCCCAGAGATGGCAAAGATTAATAATAGTAATAATAATAATAATAATGAACATCTTAGTAAAGGGGGAAAACTTTCCTTTTATGTTAAAAGTCTTTTGCCATAAAGACCAGAACACTTATGAAGTTGTCTGGGGAAATAAATGAAAAAGGGAGTTGAAAGACAATTTCAATTGTCATCTTCTGATTTTACAAAAATAGATAAATTCAATTCCATAAATTTTACTTTTATAAATTCTACGCCCCAATTTCTAATAAAGAGCCAGAAATCTTCCTAAAATGCAGCTATTCAGTTGGGGCCATCGGGTAAGAAGGGTGTCTTAAAAATACTGAAAAGCTGATGATAACATTTTACCTTGTGAACGTTCCTATGTAAACCACGATCTAATTTTTTTTTAAGTTGCTCTCTTAATCAACTTGGACATTCTTCCCTGATTAAGTCTGGTAATTCCTGTGATGGTGTTTAGAAAATACGGTGTAGAGGGGGGATGGAATGATTTTCATTAACTAGTAAGTACCACGTTGTGATCCCACCCGGAGACACCAACTAGCTCAGCCTGTTTCTCTCTCCCAGTCTCCCTATTCCCACTCACAAGGTCTCCGGCCTGAAAAACCTCCAGTCCTTTCCCGTAAGATCACCTCCGCCGCTGGCCCCTTCCTAATAAATTCAAATCAAGTAAAACCACGAAAGAAGGTAGGTGTTGGCGGCGTGGGTTGAGAGATAGACCTGTAACCACAAACAGAACTTGGGCCGAGTCCTCCCTCCCGCTTGCGGGTTTGGACGGTGGCGGCGACCTCGCCAGAGATGATGCCGGAAGAGCTCCCCATCGGAGAAATCTGCGGGAGACCGCCGGGGTGACGGGGAACCCGCAGGAGACGCCGGACGACCGGGGCAGCGGGACTCACCGTGGCATTTGAGGTCGCCCTGGGAATCCTCCCGCTTGTCCAGCTTGCTTTTGCTGTCCTCCTGCTCCAGCTTGGGCCTGAAGCTCTCGTGCGCCGCATTGCTCTCCGGCTTCGGGGTGTGGTGGGGCGAGGAGACGCTGGTGCTGTAGGGCGCGCACGCCGCCAGAGGTTTGCTGTCGCCCAGGATGTCCTTAATTAAGAAGGAGGAGGTGGAAGTCCTGGGGGCTGAGGCGGCGGAGCCCGGATGCTGGGCGGGAG